CATTCACAAATACAAAATAATGGAAGACTCACAAGGTTGCAATGATTGCTCAAATAATATTGATAGAATGTGAACACAATGCTTCCCAAAGCACTCCTCCCAATCACAACAAGTAGACAATATACTTTTTTTTAAATATTGGGTAGTCCATAATTGACCAAGGCTTGGTAGTATTAAGGCATTCTAATACAAAGATACAAACTAACATATAAAGTATAACTTTTTATGCGTAAAAACACCAGAAAACCAGTTTATGACTGCTACGGTCCCTACAATTGATTTGTGTAGCTTGCGGCGGAGTTCGTAGGGACGTTTATCCTGATATTTGGTGCAACAGCGGGGCCCATTGTGAACCAAAAGTACAATGGTGTGGAGTCACTAATAGGAAACGCTGCCTGTGCGGGGCTGGCGGTTATGATCGTCATCCTCTCCACTGGGCACATCTCGGGAGCTCATCTCAATCCTTCCCTCACCATTGCCTTTGCTACGCTCCGCCACTTCCCGTGGCCTCAAGTGCCGGCTTATATTGCTGCCCAGGTCTCGGCATCCATATGCGCCTCCTTTGCTCTCAAAGGTGTTTTCCACCCCTTCATGGCTGGTGGCGTCACCATTCCTTCCGTTGGCACTGCCCAAGCTTTCGCCCTCGAGTTCCTCATTACCTTTAATCTCCTTTTCGTTGTCACGGCCGTTGCTACTGATACTCGTGCGGTGAGCTAATTAATTAGTACACATCTATTTTTAATTTCCTTTTTCACTGTTTCTATTTTACTGGCCTCCATCTTGACATTCTATTCCTTGATCCTTATTTATTTTTGTCACCATTTTATTTAATGGAATAGGTAGGAGAACTAGCAGGAATAGCAGTTGGAGCGACAGTTATGCTCAACATTCTAGTAGCAGGGTGAGTAAACTTCTTACCAGCTGTTGTCAGTACTTTGCTCTAAGTTTTTTGGGTTTAGCTGATATGGAATCTCTACAATCCAAGTACTCATGGCCTCATGGGCTCATGGCCGGTCCTATGGGATGGATAAAAAGGGCATGTGCTCTAGAGGACTTGGTCAATGGACATATAAATAATTGATAAATTAATGGGCTTTAAAATCTGTATCGTGAAAATTAAGAGTTAAAACTCTGTTTTTAACATGTATTGAGAACTTTTAAGAGAACTCTGTAATTTGGTGAAGTAATAAATGAAGTTGGACTATTAATAGGAGTATTACAAACCAGGACAAATGAATTGAATAAAATAATTTGGAAGAACGTTACAAATATGATACCACTCCGTATGATACAAAAATATGACCAGCTTTTTTGAAAAAAGTGGCTTTTTTCTTGAACAATAAACTTGTTCAAAATCCCCCTCCAACATCCGAGCTCCTCTGTCTTGCTTAGGCGGGCAAGGAGGTGCCCGGCCATTTCGGATCATCAGATCAAAAAATCAATGACATAAGATGAGTGGGTCCATTTTTTGACACAAATCTCAGAGGTGTGAAGATTAATCCATGCCCTCTATTTTAATCCCCCAACATCCATGCACCCAACTGCATCCATTTGGTGCCGTTATGAGCAGAAAAGTCACCAAGAAAAATGCGCTCAAATTAGACATGTGGGAGTGTGTCATTGACAGTTTTAATCATTTTTAAAACTTACTATGTACTTATAGAAAAACAGTTACATATATTCCATAATATCATTGTAATATTAATTAATACTACCTCCGTCCCAATTTGATGTTCCCAGTTCCTATTTATTTGGTCAACACAAATCACTCTTAATCTCTTACTTTATATATCAAATTTTTATCAAATTTGATTTTGGTTTTTGTGACTTTGTAAAGATTTTAATGTAGTTTTTGAATGTGTAAAAAAAATCTAAAAATAATTTGAGTGTTTACAGGGATCCGTTTGATTTATCGTCGGTTAAGCATCTTAAAGTGCAACAAGAACATCAAATTGAGATGGAGGGGTAGTATTATAGGAACGCAAAATAATTAACTCAGCTGTCAACTGGTCACGACCACAAAAATACAACGAAATGTTCACTTGTGCTATACCATTCAAATATAGACACTACCATTAAAAAAATCTCATTTTGTTCATGACTTTGAATCTTTTAATATATTTGTCACCATTTCCCCTCAAAAGTCAACATGTGAAGATTTAATTAATTAGTAGATGCAAATGGTTTTGGTGTTTGAATAACATACTCGGTCAATTCGTGAAGGCCATCCAGCGGGGGTTCGATGAATCCTGTGCGCACATTGGGGCCAGCAGTGGCAGCAGGAAATTACAAGTCACTATGGATATACCTAGTGGCACCTACTCTTGGGGCACTTGCCGGAGCAACCGTCTATACGGTGGTGAAGCTGCGGGAAGAAGACGCGGTACCTATTACGCGCCCGAGGAGTTTCCGCCGCTAATCAACCACATTATCAGCTCGGCGTATCCTCCCATCCATCCATCCACCTATCTGCCTATAGTACAAAATCCATGTGAATAATTAATAAAATGATCGAGATTGAACTCTTGAAGGTTTACAAGTAACTTCAAGTTTGGTCTCCTACCTATGCGTGTTGTGTTATCGGCGTCTTCTTATCTCCATTTGGTTTGTATGTGAAAATGTAATGAACAGAATGAGTTTGCATCTTGGTTTGATCATGTAATGGTGTGTGACTGTGTGAAAATAATGAAGGGGGAGTCACTCTATCACACGCTCCCCCGTACGTGTTTCAAATATAGATTGTAATAATATATCGATATATAATACTTGTGTTGTTTGAGTGCTTAGTGTTTGTGCCCCAATATAAAATGCAGATATATTATTTACTTAATTTACTATTGAAGATACAATCACATATTATCAATTTATACTTCGTATTTTGCAACAATGATTCAAGAATTGTGTGTGTACAACACGGGCCATACCCGAAAAAGATGTTATTTCAACCATGCATGCAAACATGATCATTCTTTATTGTAATTTAAGGTTCACTATGAAGTTTTTGATTCAGTAGGTGCAACGATAAAAACATTCATGGATATACTGAATTAAATACTTAATCTTATTAGCTTTTTGTTTTTATGTGGGTGTAGACGCGGTTTTGGAATCAGATCGGTGGCATGTTTTTGGGTTTTGGACTAGAAATCTAGAATTGGACCCATGCAATCGATTTTGTTTTTCCGAAAACAGGCTAAAAATTTAAAAAAATTGAGTGGATCAACTGACCAAGAATAATGTAAGGAAACCGGTATCTCACTCGAGGTTTGTGCCCCCCAAGTGTTACCTAAAAGGTTAGAATGGTCTTATGATGGACTAAAGTCAGGGGCTACGTTAGGGTTATATGGGGCCATGGGAGTGTTTGGAGATAGAAGTGTTTGAGTAGAAGTGTAGAAATACTTTGGGGGGCTCAAAATTGTTCCTAGCTAGAACCAGTTTTTTTTGAGTTGGGGGAGACTAATATCTCAAAAACTGATTCCGATTCTACTCCTGATTTTAAAAAAGAAGCAGAGGTAGAATTAGGTCCAAACACCCCTACCCCATGATGGGTTGAAACTTGAAACTAGTATTTTTATTTTCATTTTTCATATTTAGCCCATCTCGTTAATGATTAAACCTACTATAATTACCTTTCAGCTCATCCCAATTCAGTGGATCTGCCCTTGCATGCCCCTGATGCATCGATAGTGTATGTTGATATATGTTCACCCTAGGACACAATTGAGTGATAGTTGATATTGGTTGTCGTAAGTAACACTGCTAGTTAACAGTAGAGAGAACATCATGGTATCCAACAGAAAGATCAAACATTTTGATCCACATATCTGTTGGGGTTGTGAATCGTGATTACAGGAGCATACCGACCCAAGTCTGTGTATCATCCTGCCTGCGCCATTGTTCGTATACACTCAAATTGTATATCATGTGTTGCAGTCTTGAATCATGCATGACAAAATGTGTTGATTGCATCATTGCATGTATAAGTGCTAACCAACTATATGAGGTCTATGTAAGTGGGAACAATTAACTACAATCATTCAACAATAAGATCCACTATATGAAAAAAGCGTGCATTGACGTTAATTTTAATTAAATGATAACTACGATTACAAATTGCATTGACAATAATGTATACCTTCTCACGGTAATGAACTTTTTCATTTTCTATGAATACCCGGTTGATCTAGCTATCTGATCTCTTTAGAAAGCGTTGGAATAAGAACTTTGCCAAGTCTAATTAAACTACACTTTTTAGTAGGAAAGTACTCTCGATATATAGAGTTTGTTAATTTGATACTCCTTAATTTAGTTCTCATTTAAGGATTTTATTTCATTTATTGGAAAAGGTATGTTTTGGTGATGATTGATATGTCAAATGTCATTGGGGTAACCTGTCTATATATCCTGAATGTAGCACATTGTTAGGATATGTAGCTAAATAGATTTTGTTGATGATGCGAGTACAACGTAAATAGGATTTCAAACTTCCATCCCGTATATATGTATTTTTTTTTTGGAAGGACTTTGTAATGACCAAGTAAATTTTGGAAGCCTACAAATTTAAACGCGGACAAACAAGAACTTTAGTATAAAAATGTTGCAAGTGTAAGAAAAGAAGTCAAAGTAAACTTTAATGGTGTTTGGATCTTATTCTTAAAATTTTTTTTGATCCTTCACGGCGTAGAAACAGATATTGGAGTGTTTGGATGAAAGTGTAGAAATACTTCTGAATGCTTCAAATTACTCATAACACTACTTTTAAAAAAGAAGCAGAAACAGTTTCAAACACCCTCCTAGCATACCAATTTATGAATTAGTTTGGTATGTTTAAGTATAGAATCATGAATTTGCACATAAGATACCGAGAAAGCCATTCACGCAGGTTCTACATTTGACGACTTTTCATTTTCTGTTTGTTGCAAAAGTACCAACTTGGCAACTTGTAGAGTATATATCCTTCAAATAAAAAAAGTAGAGCAACAAACTAAAAGCTAAACAAAGTATTTAGCTAATATATATAGGGAGCGTAGCCAGATTATAGTATACACAGATGGCCAGGTATAGTATACAACTAAACACTAATTTTTAGCTAATATATATAGGGGGCGTCTGGGCTGATGATCAACACAAGATTTTTTTGAATAATTTTTTACAAGAAATTAAAACTATGGTTTTTTTTATTGAGGCCTAGCTACCTCCGCTCCGGTATAAATATAGAATTATTAAAATGAGTAAAATAAAAATACGGCATTCAAGCAAATAGGTATCCACACATACATACTGTGCATGATATTGTATTTTGATTTTATAAATGCATTTTAAAAAATAAATTGTGTTGATTTAGAAAGGAGTGTATACGTATTATATGTTGAAAGAATGGTTAAGACTTGAGCGTCCATGAGTGAAGAAGTGGAGGAGCGTGCTCTGATTAGGGCGTGCGAACTGGCGATGGATATGGGTTATGAAGACTTTCAGGTGGAAGGTGATGCGATTAACTCCATCTCCTTCATTTCAGGTAATGTCAACAAGAAGGAGATAGGTTGTTTTTGGACATTTAGAAATCGGGCTAAAGACAAGGGTCTGGTTTTCGAACACACATTGCGAGAAGGAAACTACGTGGCCCATTTCTTAGCTGAACTTGGTGAGGCCCAGTTAATCTTGTTTAATCGGGTGGACCAACTACCAATTCGGGCAAAACAGAGTTATTATGCTGATTTATTTGGATGGGCGCATTTTAGAGTATAAGTTGTAATTTTCTGGGTGGTATGCCATCCAGGAATGCTTCATTTATCTTCTTCTAGTTTTTTATTCAACGCTTTCTTGATTGAGAGGTATTGGTCTTCCCCCTCTCATTTTGTACTTTGTTTTTTAAATCAATAAAATCTGGAAAATGTCCATCGGCATTTGTCCCACTGATTTTGGTGGTTTGCCTTCCGGGGTAAAAAAAAATGGTTGAGATTTAAGGAATCAATTTGCATTGAAGCAAATAGATGTATACTATTAATTTAAGCAAAGAAAAGTAGTCGATATCATAATCTATTTAATATTAACATTTTTAATTAAAAATATGCGTATGAAAATAATGTAAATTTTAGGAAAATTCACATTTACTACCGTACTCAGATTATCATGAGAATGTTAGATTACTAGGTATATTAGATAGATGAGAATATAATTAATGTATAACCCATTTGTGTTTGGTTACGAACTTATGATTAAAGGAATGTAATGTCACATTAAGTTGTTTGGTTGAATGATATCTCATATTGCATATTTGGTGAATTACTTGAATGCCCTTTAAATATTTGCCTCGTAGCACATTAAACTTATTACAACCTAGAATTAAAGTAATTATAACTCTAGAAAAATAAAACATCTTAGTAATAATTAAAATCAAAACTAATTGAATTAATTCTAAGCAAAGTATATTTAATTGCACAAACGAATAAGATTGGTGAACATTAGTAAATAATTTTAAGCAAAATATGTTTAATTTCACAAATGACAAAGATTAGTGAACATCAGTAGCAAAAAATACTTGTAATAGATTAGTCTCTTAATTCACTTTTCCTTTTTCCTATGTTACCTGTTTTTTTTCAAAGGAAAAAGATGACATCTTTGCCTAGCTTTCTATAGCTCACAATCTTTCCATCCTCTGCAGATTTGTCTACATGGAATTAATCACCCTATCTTTATACATGTACCTAATTCACAATTTTCCCACTCTCAATGAAATCTTCCTATATTTCACAATCTTCACAATTTGTGCTCCTTTAATCACCCAATTCACACGGGTGATTAGTGAGTTTGACATGTTTGGTCATGCATCACCTTTTTGACTTTGAAGAAAGTAATATTCCCAAAAAAAAAATCAAACCCGCGAACCAAACACAGATATCTCACATTTTGGGCATGAGATTGCGCCCTTTATAAGATATTACCTTGAACCAAACACAGCCTGTCAGTTTGTTAAGATATATACTCCGTATTATAAAAATACACATGATAAGTAACGTTCGTTGGAACATCATCTCAAATCTTATGTAATTTCAACAATCCAAATTAAGGAGGTTTAAGTTATATCCAGTCCAAATACACATGTAACAAAAATCCACTCTAGAATTAGTAGTGCGACGATTTTTAATTTTGAAAAAAGACTATTATATTTCGTTTTAAAAAATGATTTGGCTTACACTCCAACACGTTTGAGGTAAATGTGGTGTTCTCATGTTCTCACGTTAAACATTGTTCTCATTTGATCTTTATTCTATATATGTATATATATATTACTCCAGGGGGGTCTGAGGAAGGGTGCTGAGGGGAGCCTGGAGTAATAGGGGCTGGGGGGGAGGGACCCCTATGTGCCTAACGGGTTTCGAAATCAAGATCTCTCATTAGGCACGTTAACCTCGCAACCAGCTGAACTGGAATGCTTGGTTGCTTATTCTATTATATTATAATTGAAAATCAATATTCATTTGACTTTATTTAGCACTCCAACTTTGTAGAAATGAATAGCTTCCTTTCAAGATAAATAATGTGGGGGCTCCCGGCAACGGACAAGTTCGTCAACTAGTCATGATATTATTAAGCAAATTATCATTATGAAGTAACAAAATTAAAGTTTGTGACGCAACACATATTAAGTGATCTGAAATAAATATCATATATATTCTTGGAGAAAATGATTAATTGTATTATTGTGAAAGGAATTGAAGAGAGGAAGAAGGTGGATCCACCTCATTTAGATAGAAGATTCTCCTTAATCATACAAAGAACAACCAGACAAAAGCTAGGATGATAAACACATTATCAACAAGCAATGGACGAACAAATTTGTGAGAATTGAAGCACTACCCAAAATTCTGAGAACTTCTAAATGAGGAGGACCGATCGATAATCGAGTTATTGAAACCAACTAGACCATTATTTAAGCCAATGATGTGCAAGCAATACGAAAACACTGAGAACCACTAATCCTTGAGCCATCATGCCAAGTACTCAAAAACAACTGACCAGAATCCCCTATTGCATTCGGCTCTTTTTTCTTTGACAAAAAAAGCAAGCTTTAATGTGACAATATTAATTGATATGCTATATCACATTATCGCCTGGCACATTATTGATTGCTACCGATCATAAAGTAAATTGCTTCTCAATTAATGAGGGTAACCACTAACTGAGTAAAGAATTACAGGGTATTGGTTAAGAGTTTGCCTGATTTTGATAATATTTACCACGAAGTTATGTTTCCTAATATATGACTATGAGTTTTTTTTTCCTATTATCATCTTAAATATGGTGAGGTCATTCCTGTTTTTCTTAATTTTTTTTTTTAATTCCACCATCACCTCAATTCTAACAAGTAACTAATTCATCCTAAAAATATGGATATGATTTAAATGAACAATGGTTTGCATGATGAGTTTAGAAGGTTTAGTATTTCTAATCATACAATGCTCAAAAAACATGGTTAGTCATATTATATGAATGGGAAAGTTCCCGAAATAGGACTAAAACAGTTTGAAAATTCCAAAAAAGGACTGCCATGATTTTTATTCCCAAAATAGAAGTAATCACTGTCAAGTTTGGAAAATACTGTCATGTTTGAAGTCTGGTACTGTCAAAACATGACAGTAATTAGTCCTATTTTGAGAATAAAAACATGGCAGTCCTATTTTGAAATTTTCAAACTTTTTTAATCCTATTTTGGGTAAATTCTCTATATGAATTGACATGAGTTTTAGTAATATATTCCCAAATCAATCGGCTAATAAGAGTGATGTTGAATTGTCTATGTAAAGGCAATTCACTTTTTTGGGCAGCTAATAAGAGTGACCCTGAACAATTATGCAAGGACAATTCACTTTTTCGGAGTCTCGAATAATTTCCTTTACTAAAATGAAAATCAATTGTCTGTGCACAAAAAATACACTTGGCATGTAAACGGACGTATAAGTCGACGCGTACAAGTAACATTTTTGTAGTCCCAAATCACTTAATTAAATCACTAAACTATCACATAATCGGTAATAACTACAATATAATTCTAGGGCAATAAACAATATGTAACTTGATTGCCATGGGTGATCGTTATGCTTCACTCTCACCCAGACCATGTCATTTAGTCATGCACATTGTGCCCTTGATCAAATCTAGGCGTGTGTGCGGTCTTCTAACTTTGATCGTTTGGTCCAAGGATAATTATAGGAAATTCTTGTTGAAAACGTCAAATCCATGCACACCCCATGCACGCCGTCTATGAGGGTATTCACTGACAAAAAAAATTACACACGGCATGTGTGATGCGTGCAAAAATAGTTTTTTGATAATTATATATCCATTAAAGAGACACTCATTTCATGAAATGTGGCGGAGTCATAAATTTGATGAAGTAGCCTTTGCATCCTATTTGTTGAGTCTTGCGAAACATGTTACAATTGCGCATCCAACTAGCGTGCCATTTGAGATTCCCAAAGACTTTCTTTATGATTACATTTATGTCGTTGCACGCTGATCATGTCACTCAATTTTCACCGCTAAACTCTCTCAGGCTGTTATGAATTAAAACCCGCTTCTCATTCAAGTCAAACTTTTCGCGATCCAAAACTTCAGCACTTTCAAAAAGGTCAATTTCTTCTTTTGATTATTTTGCTTTATTGACTTCTTCGTCAACTCCGAATGTGGCTCTAGTCTCTATAGCTAGAGGATGAGGGTTTCAACCACATACCATTAATTTAGGATAGCTCATACCTATATTCACAACTTCTTCCCGTCAAGACGGAGGGAATTCGATTTCTCATGGGAGATTATGTGACTGTGAGGGACGAAAAGAGTATGAGACACCTAAATTCTCTTTTGGGCTTCACGATTGTTTTCACCAAATGTATTCCTAAGGACTCAGTTTACTCCTCCACACTCTTATTTTCATATGATGTGTTTTTATTATATTTATTTGGATTAACTAACCCCGAACTCCCATAGGCTACTAATATTCTTTCTAGTAACTTGACGAAAGAGGTTAATTTTCATTTCCCTTTTCCATTATGTTTTATATGGGGATTCAAATGTTGTGATGCTAACTGAGAAAAAACAAATTGCACTTCGAAGAAGGCTTCGGAGATGGTTGTGCTAGATGAAGAGCCATCGGAGACCAAGCCCCCTACAAAGGAAGAAAGGCACTTCCCCATTCCCTAAAGAATATAAGTGTAGATAAAATAGTGCTTCTATGTGATGAACATGCTTCAAACATATATTAACTAGTGTTAAGTTTTACTTTATACTTATTCTTACTAACTTTATACATTTTTGCCTAAGAAAAGTTTCCTTATTATCTATCAACTCCTTGGTGACCTTTTTGAGCTCACACCTTAGTGATAGTGAAGCAACCATCATCATAAAGGTCTCTTTCAAACCCTTGACTTCAGAAATACACTTGTCGATGATCACATTGACCGCTTCTTGAACCTCACCTTAAAGCTCTTCCTGACTCTTCTCGAGCTCCACAATGCGTTGGTCCATTTCCTCAAATCTATCTTCTCTAGCCGAGATTTCACCTCAATAATGCTTTTCTAGATTTAGACCTTCCCCTTTTGGTTTGTTTCTCAGGTTCCATGTGATTGATTAGTCTCACGGTCTGAACCGGCCCACTGTCTCAGGGACACAAAACCTTGACTTTGATACCAAGTATCACAGACTTATTCTCAAGAGCATTGCGGCAGTAGCAACACTCAGTCGATGCTAGTCAATCTAACTCTTTGGATGAGGACACCAAACCTTTGTTAGAGTTTGTCTCTAAGCGAGAGTATGAAGAACTACGATAAACTTCTTATTATGAATAATATTTGAAAACAGAACACTTAAAAAATAATTGCTGAAGCTTGCTGCACAATCACCTCCTTCACATATAAGCGCACTAAAATTAGAGGTGGGCATATTAGCTAGTTCGGTCTAACCGAATTGTACCAAAACCAAATCATATGCAATT